CCACTTACCTGTGTCGCGTGCGTGTACTACCCACTAGTTTGCCGATGAAGCAGTGAAGCTCGGCGGAGAATCGCGAGGGTGTCGCCCGGAGGGCTACCCTGATCGATACGCCGGCGCTTGCGCAACCCCTTATCATCTACCAACCCCCTCGCGTCCCTCGTGGAGCTCCCTCGCGCAACTCGTCGCCGGCTCCGCGCGAGAAGAATAGCATAGGTAGGAGAAAATAAAAAAAAGGAAGCAGCCCTCGCCTGCCTGTTGGTATTTGCACGAGATTGTTCGGTGCATGTCAAACACGGTTCGCCTACTTGCCGACTGGAGATGAAACTTGCTTTACGTGCTCTCGGAACCCTCCCGACAAATACGACCTTTGCGCCATTAAGAGCCACCCTCTGAAAAACGAGAGGGCGATTTTCGTAGCGGAAATATTATGATTATATTTGGAAACTTGCGAAACGATTGAATGATGAATAGTTCTTTTTTAAAAGGACGAAAATCAAATTCCCGAAGAATGTGGGCGAATGTTTGTCGAGATTGAATACAACCCCCGGATGTTATTAAGAACGCGAAGTGTAAGATCGTCCCTTGTGAGATGGTTCTATCGAGGGGACGTTATATGAAGCTTGAGGCAAAACCCATCAGCAACAATAAACTCTTTGCAATATTGATGCATCTATCGGAGTTTTTATTGAAAAGTTTCTTATTGAAAAAGTCGACGTTGAAGAATAGCTAAACTTATATCTTATATTATTAAAAAATATTTATTAAATAAAAGATAATACGGTTTATTTTAAATGAGTATATTTTACATATTTTAAAAATATGTAATCGAGAGATGCTTGGAGATATCTTTTAGACATCTTATACTATGTGCAATATATAGCAATATTCTATTGTTTATTAAACACACTTGAGTGAAAAATATTTGATCAAGGCGGCGCTTCGTGTCTAATAATATTTCTTGTGAATTTTTACAGTATCTAGTTCAAGCAAATCGAATATGGCATTTTTCATTCAGGTTTAATCGATTTTCACTTAATATTCTATTATTTATTAAATTGCATGATTATTACAAGAACTTACATAAAAACATCTCTTAAATAATATATAATACGATTTATTTCAAGCAAGTAAAAATTAATATAGCGAGTAAAAGTAAGTATCAATTAAAAAATACTTACAGATATCTTTGTGCTATATGTAACATGCAGCAATATTCTGTGACCTACTATTTATTAAATTGTACTATTATTACAAGATAACGTCGATATTATTTTACATATAATGTATATAACTATGTTCATATCTTTGTCAGATCATCAATAAGAGACTATATTTGGCACTGAAGAATGTGTCAAGGTGATGTCATAAAGAATATAAAATTTTTATAAATATTTTATAAGATTTCTACGGATATATATATATACATATATAAAGCGAGGAAGTCCTATATAACGCATTCACTTTATTTGCATTTAAAGAAGCATAACCGAGACTCCCCCGTTCATTTCAAAGAAACTTCAATCAATACGCGACAAAGAATTCCTCCTCGAACTTCTCGACAGTCTCGAACGGATGTAGATGAAAGAGCAATAAGAAGACTTGACTGTCAAATTTCTTGTCTCGTTGCCAATAATCCGATAAAAAATATTGCGGATATGAAATATCGTTGTAATAAGTGTACTTTATTTTTTCAAATCAACGTATTAAGTAACTTCTTTTATATCCAAATATCCGAATACAATACTAACAAGATATTAAGATTAATTAAAGTATTAATATATACTTATTATGCATAAAACATTAAAATATGAAAAAAATAAAAAGGAACATAGAATTATTATTAAAATTATTACTAAACTATACAATATTTTTTTAATTGTCTTTATAAATAAAAAATATATTATGATATACAATTGATAAATAAGAATTACTAGTTATGGATTCTCGAAATAAAAATAATGTAGAAAAATAGACAAATGAGAATTCGGTACGGTACTTAATGCACAATCATTGATTATATGTATATATAAATTGTATTTGACTTACTGTACATTCGAACGTTTCGATCAACCTCTTGGGGTCATCCTCAGCAAAATCAATAACGAAAAAATAAAGTTTCCACCCTCCTGTGTATCAGATGAATCTCTACTCAGCTGCGTACTTCCAAAAGTTTCACCAATGTTCAAAACCGGTGATGAGAATGGAAAAACATATACCTGAAGAATAGGAACGTGAAATAACAATTTTATTACAAAATTATTACAAAATTAACAATTGAAAATAAATAAAATTATTGTCACGATATAAAATAATTTAAGTTAATACTAATTTAACTAAATCAATATCTTGCTGTTAATATAAAACTGTTATTATAAAACAATCAATATTATAAAGTTCAAAGTTAAAATAATATATTATGTTTTCTACTAAAAGATCTATTATTATGTACATATTATATACGTTTTTCTTTGAAGTCAGAGGAAAACAATAATTATAATCGACGTTTCTCATTTACAGCTGTTGATGTCTGCATATACCTATTAGGTGTTGGAATTAATTCGTAGCGTTTTTTAATGAAAGAATGTTATTTATTTCACATGAGCATTAAAAAATACATTAATGAAAGTACTTCCCATCACTTGTAAAACGCTACGAATTAATTCCAACACCTAATATAAATGTCGCTTCAATTTCAGACTTTAGATACAATATCTGTCATCGCAGATCAAGATGTATCATACATTACTCGTGAATGATTACAAGCCGCTTCTATTGTCTGTTATATGAAGTCTTTGTCTGCATTGTGACGTCTTAAGCATGGCTTTGACGATAGATTAAAGAATCTGTGAAAGCGAAACATACAAAACCATGAATAATAAATCGAATGCATCCAAACCTCCCAAAATATTACAATGTAGATTCTTTAAAAAATAAAGTCGAGTATTATTTTTGAAACTGATAGGCGCACTTTCAAAGATCCGCACCTCTCCTTTAATCACGATAGATCGAACCAGTCTAGGTCGACCTGCACGGGTCGTTTATTATAATTTTTGAGTCTCTTCGAACCGGTTTCAGTAGTTGTTGCCAGTACATCAACGCTGTTATATGTTTTTTTGTTTATTATTTCTGGTATTTTTGAATCATTTTAGATATCTGAATTTTATTATCCTAAATTTGTCTGATTTATATTTAGTCAATCAGGCGGTTCAATATGTAAGTATTCTTGGAATAAAACCTGAGAGAAGGCGAAGGTAATATGTATAAAAATACGAATAGCAGTTAGATTAAGATTAATTAAAATTCTTATCTCTCTATCGATAAATTAATAATTATTTAAATAGTCGTTGTTAGTCGCTTTGAAAGTTCTTCAGATATAAAAAGCAGTAGTAGATTTAGACAGAAGTCTACGAAATCCAGGCTTAGGAACGCTCCTAAGAACCAAACTTAAAATCAATTTTATATTTGTGTAGGATTATCAGTTGTGCAATGTTCGCCAGTATGGCACCTTGAAGTAGTACTTTGACATATAAAACTAAAATCTTGATATTTTGAAAAAGTGATACTGATAAAAAGCGATTATATTTATTAATTTAATGTTATATTATTAATTCATTAGGGTAAGGAGTAACAATATAGGTGTAAAATAATTGTGAAAAGTCTATTATTAGGAAAATATACGAATTGTCACAAGATATAGGAAAAAGATTACTATTTTTGCATAAAAATTCTAGAATAGTAATCAGAAGTAGAATTAAAAATTAAGGTTGTAATATGTAGAGTAAGAAGCATTTGCAGGTGTAGGATAAAAAAAATAATAAATTGTATTTAGATAAAAGTAATAAATTGAGGATGGATTCTAGTTAGCCAATAATTATAAGGTATGGTTGAATATGTGTGGTCGAGTAAAATCAAATCAAATTCCTTGTTGATAGGTAAGCCAAGTACAATATCTTCTTCTTCTATTATTACGTTATTTTAATTATTATTTTATTATTTTACAATTTTCAACGACGAGCAAGCGATTTAGCGATTAGATTTACGAATATTTATGATCGTAAGTACTGCAAAAATTATTAAACGTAAAGCAATATGAAGTTTTGAATAACTCCATTTGAGTGAGTAAGTGTTATTATCAGTATCATCTTTTTTTTTGTTGTTTTCATGATGCTGTTTAATTATCTCGACTATTAGATAATTATCTAAAAATGCTGTCTAGTGAATACAAGTTACATGTAACGTATCTGTTAGTTGTAATTTTCCAGTCATAATAATATAATTCAATACAATTCAATATAATTCAAACATAACACTCGTATTATATATACATCTTACTTATTATATAAAATATATTAGGTATGTTTCGTTCGAGCTGCAATTAACATGCGTTTTAACATGATACTCTCTAGAATAAATTTTAAATTGTTTTTTTATCCAATGTCGAGACAAATTTCTTCTATTCTTGGGATTTTTCAAATCTATTAATGATAATTTTTTCCTTAGACATGAAGGGATTGATATTTTGAAATTATATTGCTGAGGATGGTTCCAAAGTGAATTAAAAGGTACTATTTTTTGGAATAAAGATTTAAGATTGCGTACTAACTATCACGCTGACTTTCATTTGCCTTGGTTTTTTGGATTTTTTTGTTATGGTTATATTGTTGAGTGGGAAATTACAACTAACAGATACATTACATGTAACTTTGTGTTCACTGGATGGTTTACTTTTTGGTGGCGTCACTGCCGTAAAACTAACTTAATAACGCTATAAGCCTAACTTGCACCAAGTCTTGCTGATACATCAGAAATCGCGATTGCCAACCACTTGCTTGCTCTCTACCGTCCTCTCACGACGGTACCAGCAACCATACAGCAGTTATACTAAATCCGGAGACATGAATGCCCGCATCGCGTATACAACGAGTCGGATGAAGAGGGAATGGCCACTACGGCCACTTCCATCCCCACCAGCAAACCGAACATCTGAGCGTCCCTCGGAGTAGCTCGGTGAGCGCAGTCATTATTGCGCCAGTCTAACACCCGCTAGCGATCTTCCTCGTCGCGGTCATACTGACTTTCCTAGTCGATTTCCGAGACTTATTTCGCGATACCAACGCGTCAGCAAGGGCGTGCGTGCGAAAGGAGAACGGCCTCGTGTGGTACGCCTCGTGGTCACCTCGCGAGCGCACCTGACTATCGCGTCACGGTACCTCGGCGGATACGATGAGACTCTTCTCGGAGAACGAGGAAAATGTGACGTGAGAGACTGGCCTTCGGCGGGTGCGACACGCTCTGCAACTCAGTCAGTACGCGCGGACGCGGGTCATCCTGCAAAATGACCGTCGCGATGAGGAGGTTGCTGCCGACGGCGGCGGTGTGCTGTTGGTTCCTGGCGCTCAATGTTGGCCAGGTAAGTACGAGGAACTGTTATCCCAAGACGAGAATTCCACCGTTTCAAACGCGCCACCGAACGCGCCGGAAACCGCGCGTTTGTATGCGGATGTGCTGTCAAACAATTCCGCGGGAAACCCGGCTGTATTGAGTAACTCATTAAAAAAAAAGCGAACTCGACCAACAAATTTTGGAAACATACAAATATAAATATAAATATTATTAATTATATAAATAATGTAGATATGTAAATATAATTTATTTTTTTCATATATATTATATATATGTAAGAATGTTGTTCATTAAAAATGGAAGCTTCATTAAAAATGATTTTAAGACCACGTAATGTTGCAGAAAATAAGCACTAAAGTTACAAGATAGAGAACTCCTCTTTTGCATTTTTCGCATATAATAATAATAATAATTTATGTAATCTTAACATTTGTTTTAATTTCTAAGTTATAAAAAATCATAACATAGTATTTTTTTTCGATAACATCTCAACTGCGTGAAGCGTTCAGTGCTCAGGACACGTATTATAACTTGACCGCGAAGTTTGATCTGCTGAAATGATTACTATCTTTCGAACATCCGGATTCCTGAAGCTGAAGTATTTTAAAGTGTTCTCATACAGGTTTTTTCGTAATTTTCTTTCTTTCTTTTTCGTCTTTCTTTTTCGTCTTTCTTTTATTGATTTAAAACTAATGTTCCTTAAAATTTTCATAAAATATGTATATATTAAATTCATATAATATATGTATGAATTATAATATATATTTTTTGTCTTTCATTTAATTGAAATTTCTCTTTTTCATTAAAATTAATTTTAATAAACATTAATTTAAAACACAAAATATTTTCTGCAGATAATTCGTTTGATTATTTATAGCTATAACTTAAATATTTTATTGCTTTTTATTGCTACAAAAATTCATTGTAAATTATACAAAACGTCAAATAAAAGAAAATACAGTAAACTCTCGAGATAATCTTTATATTTTTCTACTTAAAAGAAAAATGCCATTTCTTGAGTTCTTGAATTTTTTATCTTATAATCGTAATATTAATATAAAATTAATGAACGATGAATATAATTATCAAGTGTAAACGATAAATGCAAGTTTAATGAAAGGTAAGCATATCCTTAGTATATATATTAATTCAACGAAGATAAAGACCACTTGGATATACATAAATATATGAAGGAGGGTTGATACTGCAGCAAAGTATTGAATGATTAAATATCTTGAGAGAAATTTTAAAATTCATTTTATGATTTGATAAGCTCGTTCTGTCTTGTTATTTATTTTTCTCTTATTTGCTCGCTTTATTAATGTGCATAATGTTCGGCGCAACGTAGAAAGAAAATCATAAATGTATAAATCATCAAACAAAAAATGGCATTCTGCAACGTTGTGCCCTGACTCAAATTATATGCAACCGCGATATATCAGCAATAAATATGCAAAATCAATTTATATTTTTCATGTAGTTACATATATTATTCATAAACTGTAGGTAGACATTACGATAAAATGAACCGAAAATTATATTAGTATCACAGTTAAATATATATAATAAAATAAGTAATATTAAAATAAGTAATATTTATTACATATATTGAAATGTTTTCAAGATTGGGAAAGTTATTTTATAAGTTATTTATGAATTACTTCTTAGATTACCTTATATATGTATTTGTTATAAAATCTGAGTACAATAAGTAATATAAAATTGGAACAAATAAAATATAAGGGTGCGTCCAGATCGTAAAGATCCTATATCCATATTATCGAAATGAATATTGATACATCAAATGTGGATGCAGGCTCGGCTCGCGGTTTGGTAATTTAGACACACCCTAACATAAAAATAAAATATCCATCTTATACCCATCTTATTCTTCACTTCCAGGTAAGTTGCGGATAATTTTATCTCCATTGTAAACTGGAAGATATCTCTCGGATAAAGTTATCTAGAGGTGAAGAATTTGGGCATTAGGCTGGGTTGTTCCACCTTTCGATAAACTTCAGCTCACTGTTTTATGCCCGTATCAGACTACAGAGTGATGATTACAATTAACGGTTGCCCGGTTCTATTTCAACCAATCATGATGTAGCGAGTCCATCGTAATTGGCTGAAATAAAACCGGGCAACCGTAATCGTCAACTCGTAGTCTGATACTCCCCTTACTCTCTTACTCTCTTATGCTTTTACTCTTTTATTCTTTTGTTTATTCAGTAGGTAAATAATCACATAATTCATCCAAAGATGAAAGAACCAGCCTTTATTGTACTTAATTACTATGATAAATATAAATTCTATAATAAAATAACCTAAAAAGTAACTCATAAAGCTATCTTTCTAACTCTGAGTGTTTCTTTTTATATATATATATATTAGAATTTAAACTTACCTTCATGTTTTATTTTTATCATAAAATTAATAAGAAATTAAAGAGCATACATATGCTTAAATTAAAATATCTAAGAATATTTTGTCGTTTTACGTATTTTTTTTATTGCACTTAGACTAAGAAGAGAGAGAGAGAGAGAGAGAGAGAGAGAGAGAGAGAGAGAGAAGCACGAATTAAATATCCGTAACTATACTTACGGACGTCACGTTCTTCGGCGATTTCCATCGCGTGCGATTATATCGCAAACGAATCTCTGTGCTTAATGTATATATTTACGGCTATACCATCTCTAACTTATTGCATACAGCGAGACTGCTAATTGCTTTCCGCAATCTTTATAAAAATGCTTTATATATGACTTGATCATTGCGGAAGTAGCCAAATAATATGTATTATATATTACAGTTATTTTAACATATATTTACTTTTCATTATCTATTATTTATTACATCTTTCTCTTTCCCATTTCTTACATTGTATTGACACTTGATGAAGCGTTTCATTCGTTGTACGGGCGAAGGGAACAATTTGCATTAAAATAAATAAGTTTTTCTTTACTTTTTGAACGGCGTAGCGAAGTTGCATATCTCTCTTAAGACAGCTGAACACCAGGCTACGGTAATGGATGCAAACTAGTTTCTCGATTTCATCGTGGTGCAACAAAAATACAGCAAAAAAAAATCACGATAACGTGAAAGTTGTTGTTGCTCGAAAGTGGCGGAGTTCTTCAATCGTGATTTTACGAATACGCAAAAATTTATCTGACAAGCAAATCCTTGAGAGTACATACTTTTACATTTTAAAACAAGTTCATCTTGTATTATTTTCTGTTCTTTAATTGATGTAGATTATATGATAACTTTCTTAAAACATCATGAAACAAAGGAAAAATCAAATTTAAGAAATAAATATTAACATTTTATTTTCGCAATTTTACAATTGCATAATTTTAGGATCACTTTCTCATCTTTGCCAAATCGAGAGTAAATCTCATTTTACCAACAGTCTGAAATCAAATAATAACTTTAAATCATGAAACGAAGAAGAAACAAAGTTTAGAAAATAAAAATTAATATTTTATTTTATAATAAAATATCTATTATTTCTTTTTAAAATATCTTTCATAATTGTATAATTTTACGATCATTTCCTCTTCTTTGAAAGTAAATCTCATCTTCCGCCGTCAATCCGAAAGGTTAATGCTCCGCGTTCAACTCTTTTGTTCGTTTCGAAATGTATCACGGGACGAAAAGTCCCAGGCTTCGGGGTCCGTCTATTACAAGAAGGAATGCACTGGACCCTCGTGCACGCGTGTGAGCGTGTGCGTGTGCGTGTGCGTGCGCACAAGCGTGCAACACGTGCGAGAGCGGACCGCCTGCCTCAGCGCGCCGCGCGGTCCAGCTTTATATATAGTTAATCAAAAAATCTAATTAACGAGAAGCCGCTCCCGCTTCATGGGCGGTATCTGCATTGTTTATCGCGCATCCAACTGATTACCATTTGTTATCACTAACGTTGCGACCTTTAGTAGATCTTAACCCTCGTTCGAGATTAGCGCGCGACCATCCCAAGATTCCATTTCGCTCAAACGAAAATGAAACAAACGTACGCTGTACTACGCGTTTATTTCGCCTGTGCGACTTGCAACGTGTTTTGAGCAAAGCAACGAATTTAATATTTCCACTAGGCAACGTGCAAATTAGGCTAACAAGCTGGAGTCGCCTTGAAGCTAATCATAAAATAAACAAATGAGAATCTGAAATTGTTAATTAGTTGATTTTACTTTGCAAATGTATACTTCATGTTCTTCTTAGCAATAATTATAGTTAATTTATATTCTTTTCTATTCTCTCTTTACATTATATTATTTTAGATAAAGAATACATTTTCAAAATATTTTCTTTAATTTATATTTAATTAAACACTGTTGCATAACAATTCCGCATATAACCAGGTGATTTTATTTTTTTTAGTGTTAAATCTATGAATAAAAAATAAAATAGGTAATCGTTGAATTTATTTAACAACAATCATCAATATATTGCTTCCTTACTTTAAAAGCAATACAACCTAAAATGATTTTCAAGTTATTATCATAACAAGTTAAATAAATTCAAAAAAACAGGACATAAATTATCTATATTATGAAATACTTGAACATGTTTTGCTAATCTTTTAGCCTTCTCAGCAAAAATTCAGTGATGGTATAATCAATTGGTATCCATGAGTCGTATAAGTAAAAAAACCTTGAGAGGACACTAATCGTAGTAAATTAAAGTATCAGTCAATATCATGGAGAGTCTTACTCTTTAATGGATGAATACTGTCGCACAATGATATTGACCGATACTTTAATTATCGATTTAGTGCAATTAGTATCCTCTCAAAGTTTTTTACTACTCATGGATAACAACTGATTGTACTACCTACTGAATTCTAGCTGAAGAAGGTTTAAAGATTAACCGAAACATGTTCAAGTATTTCATGATATAATATAAAATATTTTAAAGAAAACTACGCGCCGTTTACAGCGGCAATTCCCAGTTGCCTATTTATCAGTTGTTTATTTTTTCTGAATTTATTATCTTGGGAATTTAGTTTGA